TACAACCAAACAACTTAAGAAATCAAGTCTTTTTGTACATAAAGATGAAAAGATAAAACATTATAATTTCAAAAGCAACAACGCTTACCTTCATGAAGATCGTTTCTGCAGGAGGAATGGCCTCAAACATGTCACCAGCAACATGGGTAACCCCATCATATGATATTGCTGTCGAGATAACATGTGGCAAATCAAAGTTGATCCCTTTAAGATGTGGATACGCCTTCACAATCTCAGATATTGCAACACCAGTACCACCTCCAACATCCACCAAGCTTCCTTTCAACTCAAGAAACCCATTCTTGTAACTGGAGATGATGGCATCAATCATGATATTAGTAACGGATTCCATACCCTCGTTGTAAATGGTATTGATGTCTGAGTTATGAGAAAGAAAATCAAAGAGTTCTTCTTCGTGGGCCAGTTTAAACGCTGCACCACCTTCTTTAACTGATCGAGTTACCGCATACGCAGGCAAAGCCATGATTGGGTTTGTAAACATCATAACAAACGGCGCTAAAGACATTTTCGTATTGCATAACAACCACTTAGAACAGTGGTTCAGGGAGTAAACTCTTTCTCCCTCAGCATCTTCTTCGTCGAACACCTTTCTGTGAACCAAAAACTTCATGAGTCGTTCAAGCCCATCGACATTTATTGACGGAGAGTCGATACCAGTGGCGATATCTGACAAAGTGGCGCGTTTGTGATTGCTTATTATGTCGGCAATATGGAGCTCAATACAGCTTCGTATAGCAAGGGCGTCAAAAGCTCCGTATAGGTAACGCCATACTTGTGCCTGGCCGATTAGCATTGAATCGTCGTCTATTCTACTTTGAGTATTCATTCTTGCTCAAATTCTTGCACTCCTCTGTAATCATGGAAGTAAAACTTGATCACATACTTATAACCAACAATGGCAGGGGTTCCATCTAGAAGCTATAATTAAAGCGAACCTACTTTGTTCAATATTTTGAGAAATTAAATATGTTTTTATCTTTTTTCTTTCTTTCTTTCTTTTTTTTTTTTTTGTTATCTTTTTTTCTTTTGGGAGTTGATACTCTTGAGAGGTTCATTCTCTCTCTTTTGTTGAGTGATACTTACACTTTTTTTTATCCACTTAAGGTCATCGCTTATAGTGGTTACGAAGTCATTCGTGGTCTACGTGTCCATCAAAAAAAAAATCGTACACACCATTCGGATCATTTGTGGTCGGGCATGGTCGTGCTGTTACGTGTTGCCGAGGACGAACTCAAACGCCCAATCATGTCTTGTTTTTCTTTCTTGACCATTCAACGGTGAAATGCTATAAAAAATATTATCTAAAAGTATTACTTATATATAAACACATCAATTAAAAACTTATACACTTAAAGCATTCTTTTTCACTCATTTTCTCTCGACCTTTATTGCCTTCAAAAACTATGGCTCACAAAATGCAGAGTCGGCAAGAGGAGGAAAAGAAGTTAGCACTAGTATGAGTGACGGTAACAAAAGACCCACATTATCGAACTTCCAAGGATTTTTGGGCAAAGGTTGGAAATGCTTTCCATGATATAATGGGTTGTCAAACTCGTATCTTGATAGAATATTTTTTCGCTTTATGAGGGCAACATGCCGCGAGTTCGACGGAATTTATAACCATATTATAAACAACGCACACGAAGATGATCAGGTTGTTGTGACGGTTTAAACACCTCAAAAGTTAGCAAAAATTTAAGAAGACCTCATGGTAGAATAATACATATATATATATATATATATATATATATATATATATATATATATATATATATATATATATATATATATATATCGGGAAAAAAAATTGGTAGGAAGATAAGAAGTTTTTTTTCTACATATTTTTTTGATGAACAAAATAAATGAATCACTAGATGATTCATTTGTAAGATGATTCACACGAAAAAATTCCCAAAAAAACATCTTTATGATTCATTTTTAATTAATTAAGAAAAAATTCATTTTTATGATAATTTTAGTGAATAACAACAAAATCATTGTATAAATGAATCATCGAGATGTTTTTTTGAGATTTTTTTTTGTGAATCATCTTACAAATAAATCATCTAATGATTCATTTTGTTTGTTTGCAAAAAAAATATGTAGAAAAAACAAATTCTTACCTTTCTACCAAAAAATTTCTTCTTATTTGATCTTGATTTTATATATATATATATATATAGGGTTTAAAAACTAATGGTAATAGCACAAAAGATACTAAGTTTACACCAAAATTTTAATTTGACAATGTGTTATTTTTTGACTCAAATTTGACACTGTATTTTTCAATTTGTTACAATTCTGACCACTTGATCATTGAACACGGTTAGTTGCTGACATGGCATGATGATGTGTCAGTTTTGATGACATTACATGATGACATGTCAAAATTGATTTTTTTTTCTAAAAAAGACATAAGTTTTCACTTTTTTTTATCGATTTTGACATTCAGTTTAATTTTTTATTTCAATTTTGATAGTTTATTTTTTTGTTCCAAATCAAAAGTCATTTTTTCTAATTTTGTTCAATGTTGATCATTTTCCATTTAAAATCTTATAAATATTTTTTTAATACATTTTAAACCATATAAATATATTTTGTTCATTTAAAAGTCATATTTTTATATAAATACATTTTTTTACATTCAAACCATAATGTGATGTATAAATATGTATTAGTTATATAAAAAATCATATTTTATATTAAATACACAAGTTTAAAATGAGTTTTGAGATTTGAAGGCGTGTAGTCAATCAAGGCCCAATGATCATGTTTGCAACCCGTAAAATTTTTACATCTAATATAGTATTCATAATATTATTAGGAACATTTTGAATCTCATGATGTGACTCCCATTAAATTATATCTTTTAGTTGAATTTTTCAAAATATTTTTGAATGATAAATATGGCCATTATTACATCTATATTAGTAGTCACATAAAATATTAGTATTTTGTTCTATATTTCCCGTCACTTCTTCAATGTTTCAAATAAACGTTAAATGCGACATCTATATATATATATATATATATATATATATATATATATATATATATATATATATATATATATATATATATAATTACTGAATCGTAAATAAAAATATATGTAAAATCTACATCAAAAAAACAAAATAAATAGTATTTCATAACCAATAATTGATAAAATTTTGTTATTCTTATCCAAAGTTTATTATTAGTTTGGTTCTCGTGATATAACTAAAAATATTTATACTTCACATATGCTTTGAATGTTAAAAAATAAAAAAAATAAAAAAATAAAAAAGCCTTGTATTTATATATAAATATGGTTTTTAAATGAAAGAAAAAATATCTATATGGTATAAAATGTAATAATAAAAAATACTTATACGATTTCAAATGAAAAATTGTAAACATTCAACAAAGTTAGAAAAAATAATGTTCGATTTGCACAAAAGAAATAGAGTGTCAAAATTTATTTAAAAAAACTTGTATGGGTAGAATTAAAAAAAAATGATAACTTAGTGTCTTTTGTGGGAAAAAAATATCAATTTTGAAACATCAGCATATCACGTCATCAAAACTGATATGTTATCATACCACATCTATAACTAACCGGGTGAACCGATCAAGTGGTCAGAATTATAACAAATTAGAAATATAGTATTGAATTTGAGATAGAAAATAACACAGTGTCAAATTAGAATTGTAATTTAAATTTAGTATCTTTTGTTTATTTACCCTAAAACTATGTTAAGTTGTTTTTGTGCTTGCATTTTAATTTTTTTTCTATTTTATTTTAATTGTTTTTTTTAATTATGTAATGTTTTCTAACCGAATAAAAAACTAGTTTAAAAAAATATGTTTTAATAATAATAATAATAATACTTTAAGCACCTTACATAACTTTTATTTGATTTAAACTGGACAATCCGAAATTATTACAAGATATGATAAATGATACTTATTGGTGATTTTCATCAAAGACCCATCGGGCAACCAAAAACAATGAAAGAATTCACTTTCAAAGTGAAAAATGAATTCATTTATACATAATAGTATCGTACATGCAAGTCTTTGTTCATGAATGAACAATCACTACAAGAAAAACACGATTTTGTTAGGAAAGGTCACTATCGAACGTATTTTCGTTGTTAATCTGCAATGGATCGTGCTATGGAATGTCATTCCGCAGCAAGGTTGCTACCACATTGTCAACGGATTTTATTTCCAGTAGCGAGAATGGGACTTTCTAGGGGAAAAAATGCGTAGCAATTTTCCAACGAAATTTGTTACAAAATCACTTTCCGTTGTACTGCTGCTATGGAATTAATTATCGTGGTTACTATGTAACGGACTTTTTGACGGAAACGAATTTCATAGTTGCTTTGCTATAGAAGTACCATTCGTAGGTATTTGCTAGGGAATTTTGCTATGAAATTTGATTTCGTTTGCTTGTCTTGCTATATTCCATAGCAACGTTGATAATGAGTAATTTAATTTCATAGGTTTTTAGCTATGGAAATTTGCACCGGATAAAACTCGTGGAATCATAAAGTTCATGATGGTGTGTTTAGTTTGTTTCTTTGTTAGGATGTTATATGCTTAACTAATTTTTCTTATTCTATGGATGAATTATTATTATGATCAACGGAATTGGTAAGATATAGTTTGAATAATATGTTTTTGAATTGGTAATATATTTTGTTTGTTTTATTGTATTTTATATGTATTTAATTTAATACTAAGAAAGAACAAACATTTGCTATTATATATGTTTATGTGATCTTGAATAATTTTTTACCATTTCAATGTAAAAAAAAAAACTAGATTATGACATCAATGATTACTTAATTAGATATTCAACTATACGCAAACACCATAGCAAGCAAAAATGACTAAAATGCCCTTTTACCAGAAAATAACAATATAAAAAAAATTAAATACTGCTACATATACAATACTATATAAACACCGATATTGAAAGTCCAGTATTATCAACCATCTATATTTTTAAGAAACATACAAAACCTACCATACTCCACATACCAACGACAAACCATGCAATATCTTTGTCGATCGTCATCCTCTTCATGGCCTACCGCAAATGCCCCTTTAACATAATCATTTGGCTCTTCATATCGAAATGTGATGTTTTTTGTCGTAAGTATATGAACAATATCAACAGTCCACAACAACTCTTTGGCACTATCAACAACACCCGTGCACTCCCCATTATCCGGAACTGCCCAGGCAGAATATGCATCAAGTAGTTGTAAACCTACACATTAAAATAACTATCAATTAATATGTACCGTTTCAACACAACAATAAATATTATACAGCTGACTTATGTTTTTCATGATTGAATAACTTTATTATTATCGTCATTAATGTGGATTCGAATTAATACATGATATTTGAAGTAATTATATATATACAAGATAAATATAGCTAATGTATCTTTACTATAAATCATTTCACATATTATACTCAACTTGTTAGACCAACTCCAATGGGAAAACATTAAAATGGTGATGTTTACACATGAAAATGGTGTTTTCAATCCAATCACACACTAATCAAGTAACAACAACAAGTAAATTACTATATATTCATATATTAAACCAAAAGAATGTACATATCATTAATTGTCATAATATGAAAGTACATATGAACAAACTACTCATAAAGATCCCAAACTCCCTAGCAAACCTAACGAAACAAGCATCCCACAAATATATTTCACACCTAAACACCCATTTGTATCCATTCATAAAAGTGTCTGACACACTGATCACAGACTTATGCATTACACAATTTCTATGGAAGCCATGGAAGTGTACATGTTTTCTCCTCTCCTTATTTAAGTGGAGGTGAACCTTGAACAAGTCGCTCTACGATTCCATGTACCTTTTGTTCTACGGTAAGCATTGTTCAACATGTCCAAAGCTTCCTGCTTCCAATGTTTGCCTTCTACCATCAGCATCAATTCCAAGACAAATGTTGAATCCAAATGTCCCAATGCAGATGCTTCTTCAAGCATAGATTTCCCTTCACGGTCAGCTTCCAAGAAAAATAACTTCATCTGAAAAAAACATTAAACACATAATTTCTAGTTAAATTAATGCAAAACAAGAAACAAATTAATTAATACTATGCATATAACAACATACCAATCCATCCCTAAACAGAAGATTTGGGTTTCTCATCTCTTTGCATTTGTTGACAACTGCATGTTTCTGGTCAGACCAATGACAATATCATAATCCATCTACCTGCATTTGTTTGTATATTTCTTCCATTTTTCGTGCCTCATTGAAGATTCTTCAACTGCAAACGAAACACAATATTGGCCCCAAAATGTAAGGAGAAACCAAATACACTCATGAAATAGAAGGATCGAAGACAAAACTTACACACTCTTCATCTTGAAAGCGTCGACTGTTGAAATTTTTCCCAAGTCGACTATTATCTTCTCAATCACTTCTAATGGCATGTCTGTTAGTGATTTTCTTTGATTTCTTGGTTTCATCTTCGAAGAAGTACTTGCTTCCATAATATTATTCCTTAACTAATATAATGATTCTGCAAAAATGATATTAGGGTTTTTTGACTGTCGAAAATTTGAAATTAGGGTTGTTTGCAAGTGACTGAAGAAATGAAAGAACGTGATTCATAGGAAAAATTATGGCTCCTACAAGATGTTGACTATAAAATGACCAAATTATCCTTATACATACAGTGACTCATATTTGATTATTAAGGGTAGTTTTGTCAAAAATTATAATTAAAAGAAAAATCAATCTATTTTAAAACACAACTGGCACAATTGATATACTACTTGTTAATGTAGCAACTACCACATTGACCAATGACCCATATGTCATCCATGGGTTCTACCATCACAACCATGATGTATATGGCATCCATGGGTGTTACCATAACCCATATATCATCCATGGGTGTTACCATCACCCATATGTCTACTATGGGTGTTACCATCACCCATATGTCAACCATGGGTGTTACCATCACCCATATGTCATCCATGGGTGTTACCATCACCCATATGTCATCCATGGGTGTTACTATGATACTATAAGCAACTACCATATTGACCAATGACCCATATGTCATCCTATGGGTATACCATGACACTATAAGCAACTACCATGTTGACTAATGACCCGCATGTCATCCATGGGTGTTACCATGAAACTATAAGCAACTACCATGTTGACCAATGACCCGTATGTCATACATGGGTGTTACCATGACACTATAAGCAACTACAATGTTGACCAATGACCCGTATGTCACCATGTTGACCAATGACCCGTATATCATCCATGGGTGTTACCATGATACTATAAGCAACTACCATGTTGACCAATGACACGTATATCATACATGGTTGTTACCATGACACTATAAACAACTACCATGTTGAACAATGACCTGTATGTCTTTCATATATAAATTTTGGTTTAAACATAACAACATAAAGATGTATAGTTTATTATTGTTTAATTCTCATTTATAATTTTAAATTAAAATTATGCTATGAACACCTTGTTAGTCTATGTTCTTTCTTTACGTTATATCTATATACCGTTTCTATCAATCTAGAACTACTTTAATAACTTTGAATTACTAAATATTTAGCATTACTTAGCACAGTTCGAATTTTTCATTAGCAGAGCTTCAAAATATTTCGCAATTCTTTTCCCTCCAACCTACACATGTTTAGGCTGCATATTAGGGTAAGTTTACTAATTAGAAATAGGGTATACCTTTTTTGTAATCATCTCCAGCGGCTAATTGATCGAAATCTTTGTTTAGTATGTTTGTGCACTGACTTTGGCAATATAGGTTATCACACATCTAAACTTTATTTTTATTTAATTTACTATCGTCGTGATCATCGTTTCTTGTTCTCTGATCATCTTCATGTATATTATCATCTTAAATTACAACTAAATTGGTTTTGATTGTATTCAATAGTTTGCATGCATAGTAATGCCTTTATCTATAATTTATTTTTATTGTATGATTGTTCTTTCTGCTCATCAGTAGTTTATAATCTCTAATATATTGGTATTGACTTTAGTTTTTTGTTTATTTTTAAGCAAGAAAGATGTCAAACTTGAAACCAAAAGGAGCATCAGGTGTGAAGCCAACTAAATTCGTTGCACCACAAGTTTTGAACCGCAACAGGACTTCAACTACAAAGTTTATAAGCAAACAATTAGAAGATGAAGAAATTGACTTCCTAATACCAGCAACCACATCCAATGCACCTATAATGTCTAGCACCAAAACCCCTAAACCTAAATCATTAGCACCAACCATGACTACCACTTCCCCGACATCACTTACAACATCCACACCATCCTCAACCAATACATCCAAAAGTTCAGAAACTAGAGCAATACAATCCTCAACATATACATCAGTAACCAACACTTCAGCACCTGCATCATCTAAACCATCCTCAACACCGACATCCATTACCACATCATCAACACCTATATCTACTACCAGAACCTCAAAACCTGCATCTACACTACCATCCTCTACAACTACAGTAACTACCACATCCTCCTTAAGTAAAGGAACTACCACATTCTCAACATATACATCTATCCCAACACCTACCCCAGAATATACCCCATCAACAACACTTATCCCATAATCTACCCCATCACTAACACATCCAACCATGAATGGATCTGTTGTGGAAAATGTAAAAGGTGAAAAGAATTCCTTTAAAGATTGTGGACCAGATGGACGTTTAACTGTTCATGTTTGAAAAAAAAACGTGAGTTACCAATCATATCTTACAACGTTTTCTATGTATAACCTTTTGGTTTACACGTACATATCAATTCAAAACTAAACCGATCACATGATTATTTGCAGGCTCATGCCACCAGGCCCTTGTGCACACTTTATTAGTCGGTCCTTTTTACAAAGAGTAGATCCACAAGGGTACACTTGGGGAAAAGTAACCAAAGAAATGCATGAATTATATTGGGAGGAGTTCCAGGTAGTTAACTATATTTGATAAATCATTGTTTGGTAAATGTTTACATTTAAACTTATGTTTATATTGTTAATGTGTAGAAAAAGTGTTGTGGGATGAAACAATAGACTAGCTGGTGAGGCAAGATTGGGCATGGAAAGCGGCACTAAGTTATGGACAATATATCTACAATATGCGGAGCCCACAAATAAACCCACATGGATTTAAACCAGCTCATATTCCAGATGAAGTCTAGAACTCGTGACAATTAAAATGGAATACAGATGAATACAAGTTAAAATTCGAGCAGAACAAGAAAAATAGGCTTAACTGTGTGGCTGATGGAGTAGCACAAGCTTGACATAACGCTGGATCCGCAAGTCATTTGAGGATAGCTTGTGATTTGGTCATTTGTTTAGTGGTACAACAATTTTTATATGTGTGTATCTGTATATTTGACATTTTATGGTTTTTATGCAGAAGAGGAAATAGGATGTAATCCACCCCATAGTGAATTGTTCCTATATACACACACGAGAAAGGAAGAGTTAGAAGCTGAAGGTGCTGAATTTGAGAAGGACAATCTATTGTAGCTAGTCCATAATATCATTCATACATTTGATATCTTTTAACTAATATTATTTTTATTTTGTAGACGGCCTATACAGAAAAGCAGGAAGAGTTGGAAGCTGAATGTGCTGAATTAGAGGAGGACAATCTTTTTTTTGATGTTGTTGGTGGTCATGACAAAAAAGGCAGACTTTATGGATTATGCTGTTTTGAAATGGCGACTCCCAATAGGAATAGTAAAACGGATGTATCTTACATTCTGGGAAAAAATGATGAAATAGAAGAAATGAGGGAGCTTGTTGCTAAACAAAAAGAGCAAAATGAAGAGCTTAAAAAATGATGAAGGCCCAAGAAATACAAAACAACACAAGAGTCGGACATATTGAAAAACAACTTCAAACGACATCGGATCTATTAATGTTTTTTACAAAACAACAACACTGATAGGTCATAAAGTGTTGATATATGTTTATTGAAAAGTATTTATTTTAGATTAGCAACTTTATTTTTTCTATGTAATAAATAATTATTGTATTATTTTATGATATAATTTTATTTGATTTTTTTGTTATTTTTGTTTTTCATATATGAGTACAAAATAATTGGGATCTAATTTATAAATCAATTATCCATCTGGCCATATGGAATCTTTGATATGGAATCTGATATATAATATACACCACGAAAATTGCTAGGGATTCATGACCATGGAATTTGCTAGAAAGTAATTAAACGGAAGTTACTAGGGATTCATCACCACTAAATTTGCTAGGGATCCACGACCATGGAATTTTCTAAGGATTCATCACCATGGAATCTACTAGGGAATCACCACCAAATAATTTTCTAGGGATTCATCACCACAGAATTTGTTACGGAATCACCACCACGGAATTTACTAGGGAATGACCACCACGAAATTTACTAGAGATTCACCACTAAGGAATTTGTTAGGGAATCATCACAACGGATTTTGCTAGGGATTAACTACAACGGAATTTTTTATGGAATAACTACCATGAAATTTGTGATGGAAACCTACTACGGAATACCATCTATCACGGATTTCATTCCGTTGTCATAATTGCGATGGAATGATTGTTTCCCTAGCAAACACTCTCTACATAGTTTTTTGGGATGGAACTCAGTAGTCGCAAATTTCATCACTTTTCGTCCTTTGCAACGGAATTTCAGCTTTTCGCAGCAGAATCATTCCCTAGCAAAATCGCATTTTTCTTGTAGTGAATCTAAGTTCCAACTTTGACGTATGAAAGTTAAATACAAATTAAACATATCCATGATTATAATTGTTGAAAAAAGCCAACAAAAAAGGAAGCAAACAAAATCCATACCTAGAGTAGGAGGGGTCTTGTTCCGGTAAACTCTAAGAAGGCACATATGGAAAGTGAAAAGGTGTCAGTTAGGCGGTTCAAGGCCATAAATCGGTGGAGGGGAGATAACACGTGTAAGCAAACGGTAAACAAATGTGATAACATTGCAAAACCCACCTCCAAATAACAATTATACAGAGAAAAGGTAAAAAAGATACCACATTTACCAAGAACACAAATGGAGCATGTATTAAACAAAAAAACCACCAATAAGATTGAAGAA